TTCTTAATGACCTTCATTGAACAGTAACATCAAGTACTTGGTGTTCAATGAAGACCATTCATTTTTTACAATTAAATAGAAGATGCATACTCCTACAGCATATGACATCCACTCATTCTTAGCATGAAATGAACATCTTAAAAAGGCTTTTACAGACTTCTGAGTGATAACAGTGTCAAAAAAAGGGAAGCACACACGCACAGCATCATACTCCTGAGAGCAGCAATTGCCCTTGCTGTGTTCTATGGAGAGTGCTAAGACCTGATACAACAGTAATTTTATTGATCTGCTTGATTTCTGGTGTTGATTTGACATCAGATGTATCCTGCTAGCTTAAAGATCAGGTATTTTTGTCACTGATGTCATAAGAAGAAGATCAGTTCTACTCATGCAGGGACTCATGGCTTGGTGAAGGTGTTCAAACTGCCCTATGTTTGACACACACTTCAGTCCTGCAATGCTTTTATGCAGTGGTGAGTAAATAGAGAGGATCCTATCACCTTCCCCATTCTTACAAGTGGTAAAGTAGAACTGGGCCATGAGGGGTCTTTCTAGGGTCTTAGTTCTATATGCATAACTATGAAACACAAAACATTCAATTACAACTCTTTCATGGCACGTAACCTAATGAAGAGCTCTGTCACAGAACTAGGATTAGGGACTGTATCTGTGCCAGGGTACAGCCAGACCTGTAATTTTTGAGGGTTTGGATTGAAACAAAAGTTGTTGCAGCCTAGCCAGTTTTTGTGTGTTAGCTGAGCCAACACCTGGGTCATGATACTGGATGTGCACAGGCTGTTAGACTAGAGAACATTTTAATTATGATCTCTGCGAGAGAGACTTGATTTATGCAATGATTCTACCAGCAATTTGTTCAACAACCACTGTGAAGATGAACAGATAAGAAGAGTCTCAAACTCCTGAAGCCATGAAACGTTTTAAAACAGGAAAGAGCTTAATAAGGTAGAATTGCAACACCAAAAAACTGGCTGAGAGATTTGTGAAAAAGCATGATCATTCAAAGTTTGAATGAAACAGAAGAGAAACAATTGGCATAAACTTTTTTTTTCTGTTTGGACAAAAATTATGTTTCAATAGCTTATGTTATCATGCCATGTATTATGGTGCTGCTATAAATGCAGGCAGAGTATTAATGTTGTTTTATGAATTCAAAAGGGGTTCAAGGCATAACTTACATAAATCTCTTAATAGAAATTTTGAACTTAATGGAATTTTTGCTATTTACTTCACTGGGCTCAGAATTTTAGTCCACAAAATTGCTTTTTTAAGGCACAACGCCTATGTCCATTGAAGGCAATGAAAGCTTTTCCAGTGACCATAACTGACCTTTCATTAGGGCAGTAGCTCCTTTACAAAAGCCTGTTGTCACTGCTATAGTCTTGCAGACCTTCTTCACAATTGTACTTGTTATGGTCGCATTCCTGAAACTGCTTTTGTCTTCTTTTATCTGAGATAGAGTTAACAAGGCCTGCTTTTCTAAGTCTCTAATGGGCTGCTATGATCTGAAGCCATCAATAGCCCTCTTCATTTTTTTCCTGTGTGATTTTGTGCAATGTTTTCTTCTTTGCTTGTTTTTCTCTTTGATATTTTTGAATATCTTGGATGAGAGGGCAGGATGTAGTGGTCTTACTTTTCCCTTATGCTATGTTGCCAGTAAATAGGCAGAATGGCAGTTTTACTTATGTTTCTTTTACCCTTAAATCTACAATTGCGATTTGGATTTCTTCTTGTTTTAATCATTACAAATTATTTTATCTCCTGTAAAAATAAACCAAGATTTTTGGTTGCATTCTCCATCAAACACAACCTTTTCAGTTTGCTGTTTTCTCAACTCCTGCTTTGTTTTCTCACTAGTGTTTTCTATCCATTACTTTAGCTTCCAAGTCCTCTTCAAAATATTGCACAAATCTGCTTTTTTTTTTTTTTTTTTTTTTTTTTTTCTTTCTCCACATTGATCTCAAGCAGTTATTTCCTATGTTGTACTGGCAAATATCCTGTTCTCTCTGTTTTGGGGAACCAGTTCTGCTGGGTTCCACCTTCCACAGCCAGTGTGTTTTCCAGCTCATGAATTTTAGCTCTAATTCTAGTTTTACTAAACCAGGAGGATTTTCTCCTTCTGGTTTGGTTTGAATTTGATTTTATAGGATTGGCAAGTTGCTGTGAAGTATTTTGGGGTTCTACAATTTTTTTCTCTTGGTTTCTGTACAATTTTTATTGTCAACTGCTAGAAGTTGAACATCTCTCTGGGCAAAGATATGAACCACTTTGGCTTCTGCAGAACTTATGTACTTCCCCAGTTATTCCCAAGACTAATTTAAACTTGAAGATCTTTCATAAAAAGCATGAGTTTGAACACAAAAAGACAAAGGCAAAGCCCTGTATCTGGTATGGATGGATTCCCTGCTAGAGGGAATGTTAGAGGCTTGGGACTGACTGGCTGGGTTGCTGCTGTGTGAAAAGGGACCTGGGGGTCCTGCGGGACACGATGCTAAGCATGAATCAGCAGGGCTGAACTGAAAAGTGTACAGCCAGCAGAGCACAGAAAGTCCTTATCCCCCTTCACTCATCACTCTTTAAACTGCATCTGGAATCCAATTTTAGGCTCCTACCATAGGAAATATATTGATAAACTTCAGTGAGCTCAGAAGAGGTCTGTCAAGATACCCAGGGGCTGGCGTATTTGCTCTGTGAGGAAAGGCTGTGCAACCAGGCTTGTTTAGCCTGAAGATGAGGTGACCTCAGGGGAACCTAGCAGCATATCTGCAAGCAGGATACTGCAAAGATGGAGCCACGAGCTACACCATCAAAACAGGGAAATTCCAACTGGATAGGAGGGAAAAAAACACCCCCAAAATCACAGTGAGGATAACTGACACTTATTAAGATAATTGGAACAGGTTACTCAGAGAAGTTGTGGAGAATCTGAAGTTTTTCAACATCAACTACACAAAGTGCTGAAAAATTTGCTTTGAATTTGTATTGATCCTGTTTTTGTTGAGTATTAGGTGGAACTAGATGATATCCCAGAGTTCCTTCCAACCTAAATGATTCTATGAGCATCTTGTTCCTATAAGGCAAGAACACAAATATACATAAAAGATGTAACCAGCCCTGTCTATTGAAAAAAAAACCAATTAGCCTGGCAAGAATAATTATGCTATAGCCACGCAGCCAAGTTTGTGTGTGAGGCCTGCTATGCTGGAAGCTGATAGTGGGAGAAATCCCTGTGTTCCTAAAGTTTGCAATCCAATCAGTTAAACTGGACATACAGTGAGAGCAGGAATACAGTAAGTTGAAGTGATTTTCTTGGAGAAAGAAAAGACCTGTCTTCAGGGTCTCCTGAGTCCTAGTCCAGTGCTTATATACTGGACCATACTACACTCATACTCCCTGCATAGTTCTTGAATTTTTCTGAAACATTCATAAAACAGATCCTATTTGAGAGAGAAGTGGTCATTCAGAAGATTAAGGTCTTTTTCAAATGGAATGTTCATCTATGCCAGATGGTATGGTAAATCTGAGTCATAAATATCTTTTATTTCCTTGGTCAGAGAGTGCAGTGAAAGTGCAACTTGCCATTTTTGATTTCCAGTTTCAAGAGCACCAAGAATTTGAGTTTCTGAATTTGTTCCTTCAGTTCTCAGCAACTGACATATTCTCCTGGATATTAAATGCTTAAAATTTAAATGACATAAAATTATTGTGTTTATTTCTTTAGATAGCTGATTTTATTTTTTTCTGCAGAAATATATCTAACTTGATTTTATGCCAAACACATTTTACATTCTAGAAACTTCTGAAATCTTTACACAGCCTAATACTGCTCTTGGCTGCCATATGTTGTTATAGAAGCTGTCCCTATTCTCCTCCTTTCTGGTCAGAGTTATCCTCCTATCTTCCCTTGCACATCATGCAAGGTAATTTGGGATGGAAAAATTATTCTGCCTTTTAGTGTAGTCATATGGTTTTGTAAAATCTAATTTAATGTGGCTGTATTTGGGCTGCTGCCCTTTTATTAGGAAATGTTAGTAGGACATGATGCAGGGGGAGCAGAGTTATTCAAATCTGTGACTCTGAATTTAAGAAGCAGTTTGCAGATCATCTTGTGGATTAAGAAAATCACCAAAGTCAATCATAAATGCAGTCAGTCACTGAAACTTCCAAAGAATTATCTGGCTTCACTGCAGGCACAGATAAATTAGAGATTATGGGCATAAGTCTTTTTTCGCACAAGGGTAAATCAGGAGCCCCATCACTGAAGTCAACAGATCTCAACAAGAAAAGAATTAGGCCCTATGGCTTTTAGTAAGAGGAATACAAAGAGTTTAATTACAAGGAATCATGCTGAATCTCCCTTCCCCCATACACAGACACTGCACATGTTCTCTGGTAAGGTTTGTCTCTTGCAACATTTTTGCACTTCTGTTATCCTTATCCTAATCAGCTACTACCAGTGTGCATACAACAGGGACTTAGATGCTGTAAGGATGGGGCCACTTAGATATTAACACATGGGGTGGTTAAAGCATTAGTAGGGCTGTAGCTCAGTTCTGTGTTAAAAAACCTGGTGAAATCCCAATTATGCTGCAGTTTTTTGTCCTCAGTGTTATGACTCAGAAAAACCCAAAATCCTCAAAGAGGAGGAGTTTCTATTCTGTGCCAGGGAGGGAGTTTCTCATGTAAGCAATGCCTCTTTAAGGATTAAAATAATGCATAGCACATGTAAATTAACAGCTGCTGGAAATTCAAGTAATACAAATATAATGCTTTATTTCCACATATTTAAATGGTCTTATATGTCTATAAAAAGATTTGAAAACAAATCACACAAAGAATTACAGTTAAACCATCCTCTATGAAAACCTCTGACAAAAAAAAGAGCAGGTGTAAGATGAAGATCCCAGGTGTGGAACATAAATAATAGTTTAGGAGCAATCAGCTGTTGTACCAGATAATTTGACAAAAATGGAAGTACTTACAGTCTAAGTGACTATGTCTAATGCCTTCCACATCTTCAGCATGAATGAAGTGGTAACATCTCTTTCCTACAATATCTACAGGGGTCAGATCCATGTAATCACTAATCCTAAAAAGGAAAGAGAACATAAAGCCTATAATTCAAGAAAGAAAAGAACAAAAGAATTATCAAATGACTCAGAAAGTTAAATCTGCTAAAAAAGTTTTTTCAGCATTATATCATTTAAATGGAATATCTGTACAAATGAGACAAGGCCTTAGAGGAAAAAAAAAAAGAAAAAAAATCTTTTAAAAGAAACCTAGAAATTATTTTATCTATTTAACTAAGTGGAAAATTAAATTCTAGTGCATATTCTCCATGTAGACCAGAACACCAGAACAATACAATTCCATGAAATTGTAAAGCATTAGTGACAATCCAAAATCCTCATTAAAAGACTAAGATGATTCAAGGTTACATAATAAAGTAGAAACATGTTATGTTTATACCAAATGATTAGAGACACATTTCATTTCAACAGATTGGTCTTCTATTGGGTATATTCATGAAAAAGCTCTTCAACCATTTCTTGGCACCAAGTCCAAACTCATATTTCAAGGGATATAATTTAAATGCTGAGACACACAGATGCCTCAGGGTGTTATCTTTTTTAGTCTAATTCATTTGGGAGCTCAGCTTTCACTCTGGGTCCTTTCAACTGGGACTTTGTTGTTTATTGCACACAGAAACTTTAAAATCTATTCTGCAGACCTTTGTGTGTGTGTGTCTGTGTGTGTGTCTGTGCACTCGTGTCTGTGTGTGTGTGTAAACTCACATTGTGGAGAGTCAAGGGGTCAACCTCCTTAAACACAGTACAGACATTTAAAAGAAAATTGGAAAATGCCCCACTCAAGCAAGAGTTTGAAACTATGTCTGTTTTCTAGACATAGGATACTTTTTTTAGGGTTTGAAATAATCTGCAATGATTATGGTACATTCTATGATAAAATCAGGTAGAGGAAATCCCACCCTGCCAGCCTAGTAGAAAGGGGCAATCTCTAGGCAGGCCACTATCCTGTGGTCCTGTAAAACATATGCATAGGCTTGTGTTTGAGCAAATCAATGGCTCCACTGACTTACAGGACTGTTAGCATGACTGAAATTTAAAGGTAGGTATATGGCACAGTGTTTTGCTGAATTTGCTGAAATTGTGCACAGGCTTGAGGCTTGCTACACAAGACTGCTTCTGCACATCTGAAGGATCTACTGACAACCACTGTCATGGCCAACAAGCCAAACCTCTGCCATGTGCTCATTTCTTTTTGGGCACATATTAGCAGATGTGGTATCACAGTCCACATTAAACTGGCTATTGTCTCTTTCCAAATGGTTTTCAATTCTTAACAGCTGAAAACACACAGACTGATCATGCACTCGTAGCATCAGTCTCTCATTTTGCTTTTAGCTATTTATCACCATCTGAGATGATTTTTCTTCTGCAGGTGCTTTTCTCAGTCCACTAACTAATAAAGAAATCCCAGATTATCTTAGATGGTGAATCTTAGACGACACAAATCCTACATTTGCAAAATAGACACAGATTAACATACCATGTTTTAGGCAACAAAATTTTATGTCCGTTTTTCACATTCTCAAATAAAAATAGGAATTTTTAGGAATAGCCAGTATACTAGCTAACAGATCTTGCCTCAGAGGGAAGCTAATGTCTGGCTAGTTTGTGCACTGAGTCCAGGATTATGAAGGAGATCTCTTCATTCTGAGGAAAGTAACAAGATGCACCCAAAGACTTGAGTAATGTCATTCCTGCTCACTGCTGTTTCAAGCAGGCAACCACTTGGAAAAGTAGGAGTACTATTGATCTCACCCCTGCTGATCCAATGGTCCACTGTGAGCATTCATTTCAGTTAAGTGGCATGGCTTCTGCTCCACACTCCCTGCAGCTGCCAGTAACTCCCCATTGCTCCATAAATAGTGCTTACAGCTTGCCCAGCATGGATCCATTTTTCTCTGTTTTCATCAATGTTGTGCTTGCTTTACTGTGGCACCGCAAAGAATTTCGTAGCTGCCCGCAAGTGCCAGGAGTCAAGCTCATATATTCAGGGTGGGATACTTATCTCCTTTTCTATAATCCCAGAAGAGAGATCCCAACATCCCTGACTCAGAGAACAGCCTTGGCAAACACCCAGATAATTAATCTGACAGCTTCAATCAGTTGTTCTGTTAATTTCTTCCCATCTTCTGGTGGGATTTTTTTTTTTTTTCCATTCGTCCAGTTTTTAGAGTCATATTCTGCACTGTAGCTGCTGTGAAATCTAAGTCCTGTCAGTCTTATTTCATTTTAGATGAGTGGAAATCCTGCTGCCTCAGTGAGACCACATTCACCTCCCAGCACTGGCAGAAGTATTTCTACTATTTGAAACTACCTTTATAAAATATTTTAAACAGATTTTTAACAATGACACATGGGCTTAAAGTGGAATTATTGTAGCATACATTCAAGTACCACTATATGCATTCTGCATTACCATGAGATAAAATCCATAACAAACAAGGAAAAGTTGCTTTATAATGTTGCCTTCAGCTAAAAAATTGAAAAAACATTAAGAAACTCAAGACTTTCTTGCTGTCTTCCCACAGTTTACCATGTCTTATCAGCCCTTCCCATGTGATTACCAATCATTGCACCTCACCTGATGAATTTTACAGTTTTCAGTGATGTCTTTCTCAGGCATTTGGAAGTTTTATTGCTACATGAATATAAAGGGATGGTTTGAGAAAAATGTTTAATTAAAAAAACCCCACATATACAATTTAGGGCTCATAAAAATGCCAAACTCACAGCAGAGAAAGCATAAATCATCCTAATTTGGCCTAAAAGTTCATTTCATTCTTGACCTGATGGAACAGTTCATTTTTCACATCTATTTGATTCCTGGCTTTTTTTATGGAGGTTGCCAATAAAGGCAGCAGTAAGTGCAGGTGATTTTGTTAAAAGGGAATTTGTTCGTTAGGAACTGGATAGAACTCACTTCACAGAGGCCTTTGAAAAACTCTGCAGTGGTAGCAGCTTTCCATTACTACCTAGGTCACAGTGAAATCAAAGACTTAGGGAAAAGTTTTGCTCTAGATCCTATTCCTAACCCCCAAAGCTCTTTTGCCAGCATCTGGATAGTCACAGGCATAGCTAGAGTCTCAGGCAAAAAGCCCAAGCTTTAATGCCATTGTCCACTTTTTCTGTGACTTTGTGCAAACCACTTTCCATGAAGCAGTTTTTCCAAGCTTAAAAATGAGAATAATATATTCACTTTTAGACAATGCTCTAGAAGTGCAGATGAAGTGTTCTCTCTAATAGTCAAGTAATATTTTTAAAAGTATTCCAGCAGTGCAGCAATGTGGCAGCAAAGACAACCTCATAATTGAAACCCAAGATTATTTTAAGTTAAGATCCTGATTCAACAAAACAGTTGAGTTTATCCTTTTTAATAAAAGTTTATATTGACGTGCTATCCTGATCACAGGTATTCCACTATAATTGTGCAATTATGATTGTTCATATCAGACAGCTTCCAGCCATTGATGCTGGAAAAGCTTGCAGTAGCCACCTTGTTTCTTCCACTTTTTGATGATGTCCCCTTCACAAAATTTATTTTGGCTGCATTACCTTCCTTCTTCCTTTCCAACCTTTTCCCCATACCTTCCATCAATGGACCCAAACTTACTATGTGTAATTTACTTCTCAGATATTTTCACTCTGAATACCTATTCCCTGGATTATATTTTGATTTTTCAAAATCAGGACTCTGAGGCCCTAATGGTTTTGATCAGCCCCTCTGCTTTCCAGCTCTTCCCCCACCCCAGCCAGGGCCCAGGCCGCCATGGCAGCCCCTGTCAGTGCCCAGCTCCCCACAGCCCTGTCTGGCCATCGGCCCTCCTGACCCGACCCAGCCCATTCCACTGCCTGTCCTCAGGAGATGCCCAATGCCAGGGGCTGGAGCTGCCCCTGTGCCCCCAGCTCCGCTCTGGGGTGGTGGGATGGGCCCTGGCTGCCATGTCTTGCCCTCACAGGCTGCCATGCAGGGCCCCCAGCGCCACGGGCACCCAGCCCCCAGGGAGCAGGAGCTGAATTTAAGTCCTCTCTTTCACCTTCCCAGATCACTCATCACTATCACACAGAACACAGCCTCCCCCAACCAACTCTTCATCACCTGTTCCCATTTCACTGCTGTCTTTCCCAGTATGCCCTTAACCAATTTTATTCTACAGTTTTCCCACCTCTAACTGCAACAGATCCCACCTCTCTAGCCTACTATCTAGGCCATCTGTGCTTCTGTTCTGTTAAACACCGAACATGATAGCTGTAATCTGCAAATTAGTTCAAAAATGGAAAACTTTAAAACTTCAGACCAAAAAACTTGTGGAGGGGAGGATGGAGGAGCATAAGGACAGGCATACAGGTCAGACCAACGTCTGTCTAGTCCCAAATCTTGCCTTGAGAGGGACGGTGAAAGATTGTAAAAAGCAGAGAAAGCTTAGAGGAATATTTCCTGGTGTATCTTCCCTTATTCCAGAAGACATCCTGCAAATTGCAGTTTTAAATTTACCTTTATCTTCTAAGAATGTAATGAAAATGAAGGTAGCAAGGATGAGAGTGAATTCAGTGTTCTCCTACAACACTAGGATGACATTGCAAAAGTCAAAAATTTCAAAACTTCTTGCCAAGCCCATGGAACAAAGAAGTAAAGGATCTAAAGGCCATACCTATTTTCACAGTAAATGATATTGAGGTCCATATTCACACGAGTGACAAACATGTGGCAGTCAATCCTGACTTCATTAATTGTAGGAGGTGGCAAAGCATGAGCGACAACAACAAGTCCCATGATTTGGCTGGGCACTGTCCGTCCGTGTGACAGCGACACTCTCAGACGTAACCGGCCTGTTATATGAATCACCTGGAAAACAAAACCAATAAAAAATACCAGTGAATTCTGAGTGCAGCTGTGACATCAGTTTCTTTTAAAGGATAGTTTTACTGTTCCCTTCAGATCACTTAACACTGCCTAAAATTGTACCAAGTAAGTGCCAGTATCATTGTTAAGCTTATTAATATTGGCTGTCAACATGCCCTATATGTCCTCATGGCAAAAGGAACATAACAGAAAAATGCTTCACATTCATCAAATAAAAAGCTAACAACCCAACAACCTGTGGTGTTGATTTTTGCTGTGGTGTTTTTTACACAAAGAAAGAAGACAACAATGAAGTAGAAATTCAACAAAAAAGAGAGTCAGATAAAACTGAAATAATGAAGCTGGAAATTAATAAAGTAACCATTTTATATATTTGGAAATTGAATATGACACAAGAAAGACCAGCAGTTTTGGAACATAATGGATTTCATTGAGTTGATAGTCACCTACACCATGGAAACACTGTTCATTGCCTTGAATTTCTTCTTTGTGGTAGGCAAATTGAGAAGCAACTGCCTACAGGTGATCTGTGAGCTCAGGTGCAGGATGGTCTTTCTGCATCCACAGTAAAACATTTAAAGAGCTGGTAGACATGTAATGCCTTTGTCTAGTGCACTAGGCATGCATGGAGAGCTCTGGGGGTGGTGCTTTTCTTCCATATGCACAAGATAGTACCAGAAGATGCTCAGATCCAATAGCATCCAGAAGAACTGCATCCCCCTTCTAAGAGCGCTGCCTGAAATAGAAAACTGAATCTCTGGGAAAAGAATTATTTACCACTTCCAGTTTCACTCCTTCAGGAGTTCTGTGTATAAATAAAGGAGTTGTTTTATCCAGTAAAAGAATATAAATACAGAATATTGAAATGAAAATGCAAACCACAGTTCCTGTACTCATGGATAAGAGATGCACAGGAATTGGCAGTTGCTGGCTGCCACAGATTTTCTTCCGCAGAATGTAGTATATCATCAACATAAGAGAACACTTCCAGGAGATGAGGGCCCTTTTCTCTGTCATCCCAGACTCCCTACCCAGAGGTCAACAGAGAAGTTGGTTGATTCCTGGGTCACAGGAGGAGGTGACAAAAATGTGGTAATAATTGTACTGATACTCATCTCACAAAGATAGAAGACAAGCCCTTTACTTCTGATCTGAGATTGATAATAGAAAGTGAGAGAGAAGAAAATTTGTCATTTTTAAGATTGCAAATCACAAAGTGCATCCAAATTAAAATCCAATTAATGCTAGTAAATCTGTGATGTAAGACTTGAAATTTGTTTCTTTTTTTTTGACCTAATCATTGAAACATCTCCTCTCACCACTATTTCACATTTTGAGCCTAGCCAGTGTGGTGAATCTGAATGAGGAAAGTGATTAGCTGCTGTGTATGGCCATTTCAGTTACAGTTTTCTGACCACCCATGTTTAAAGTAACTATTGCCTAAACTCACACTTAATGCACCTTTCAAGGGCAAACTATTCTATGAATATTTGAATAAGTTCCTAAAGGCAAAGATGCAAAAACAGCATTTCAAACCCACTTTAATTATTTCTTTTTCTTAAAACCTCATTAACTAATGAAGAAATAGCTAAAAGAAATAGGATTAACTTCACAGGAGGGGCAGTATTACTATATTTTGCTCCTTTGAGCTAGGCTTGCATATACATCTCCTTTTTATCATTATCTGTCTCTTTATCATGCAGTTTCAGCTTACTGCAAAACTCAAATCTGTAAATGCTTGGAAAAATGCTGATGGATAACTGGTAAAAATGTGAAAATTTATCTTATCCTGAACGTGCTATGCAAAAATATCATTTTTCTGTTGTTTTTTTCGTAGAAGTCCTTATGCTAATATGTTTGAAGTTGGCATGAACACTTCAGGGAATTTTTAAGCTATATCATATATGTAAATCTTCTTTGTATTTTTCTAAACCTTCATGTCATTTGCAGCTAAATATCAAAATGATTTGTTTTTGAACAACTGTCTATTCAGGCAGTACCTCACTTTTTTTCCGATACTTCATCTGAAATACACTTCAGATGTAGTATTGCCCAAGAGACAGTTCCAAACCTGCTAGGACCACCATATATTAACATCCTTGAATTTCAAGAGACTTTGCTTCCAGATTCAAATTATTTAGCATGTTCCTAATTCCACCATGGATCAAAACATGTTCAAAATTCCCATATGAAATAAAATTTTAGGGGTCAGTGCTCAATTTCATTCTGATTCTATACACTGAGAAAGGTACAGCAAACTACCCATCAGTTCCAGTGCCTGTGTGCCTCTAAAGGATCTGTATTTCCATGCCTGAAATCCCTTTCTATGACAACATCAGTCAAATGCACCAAGTGGGAAAATCTAATTGGTAGTAAAAAACAATTCTAACTGTCATGACCTTGTCTATATTGTGAGTATTGCCACTTTTAACACTGGTTCATTTGAACTGGGATTAGGGGTGATAGGAATTATAGGGTCAATTATCTCCTGTAGCTAAAATTAATCTCTTTATAATTCAATCCCACAGCACTAGTCTATCATACCCTAAAGCAGTATTATGACTTTAATGAAGCTAAATTGCAACAATAAACTGTTTTATGAAGGACAACACTTGGCTCCAGATGTAAATATATAGTAAGAATTAGCTAGGAATTTACTGAAAATAAAAAGTAAACACAGCTCTTCTGTGCGGTTACCTTTATAAATGCTTCCTTCTGAAAAGTTAGTCCTAATCAATCTTTAAACTCTATCTTGTTTCTACTAATGCCATATGAATAGACAGGCACATTTAGATGTCACAGCAAGAGAAGACAGTGATACTGTGTTCTGTCTATTTCAAAAAGGTGGGTGAATACTATACTCCTGATCACAGGATCATCAGAAACTTTGCATGTCAAGAGCTGTACGGATTTCCCCATAAATTCTTCATCCACCTTCTAAATTAAATTAATAACAAGACTCCTTTTTTATGTTGCTGGGAGCTGGACTGGGTTAACTGTCCAGAAATTTCTTTGCTTACAAACTGTTTATTAGTAGGTGTAACTATGATTTTTATGATTCATACTACAGAAGCTCAGGGAAGTCTAATGGTTGAAAGAAGCCATGTGACCTGATCAAGACCAGAATTTTGCTTATTCTGATCTATATTATTGCTTGTAGTGGAACCTAGGATAGGGAGGTGAAGAAAAAGCATTTTGCAAAACCAAAACTTTTAACACTGAGAAATGAAAATAACACATATACTGTAAAGACGTAATGCTGAAGCAAAACAAATACTGTAAAAATATTCTGAACTGCTTAATTGCTTTGTTTAAAGCAAAAAACCTAAATCAACTTTGCCTAACACACTAATATTGGGAAAAAAGTATTTGACTTTTATTTTTAGCTGATTAGAAAACGGATTTGCAAAATATTGTAAGTACATGTAAACACACAAGTTTATGAGTGTGGGAGTGTTAACAAGCCACACTGGTTGGACAAATATATATTTCTTTTCCCTGCCATATGCTCTCTTTAGTCATCTGTTAGTGATATCCTCTTAGATGTGCTCTACTAATGTCTACTCATTATAAACAAGCACATCACAAAGACCTTGATAAAACCTTCCCTCTGTCAATACTTAGGGAAAGTAAAGCCCAGCAATTGAAAAACACATCTGGAACCTGCTCATCATCCTTTAAAGCTAAATCTCACCTCTGAAGATGGAAATACTTCCTTTGTCAAAAGATATCTTTAAATATTAGATCCATTTTTTCACATACATGTGATGTCAGAGTAAGGACATGCATTACCAGAGGCTATAAAAACCTGCAAGCATGAAAAATCTGTGAATTTCACCTTTCTAATATCTCTGTGTGCTTCAGAATTTAAATTTGAAACAAATTTCTAAACTACTTCTTTTGTTCTCTGTAAAATTGATTATGCCAATTTATTGTGTGTGTGAAACCACAGCACTGGCAGAAGCTGTCCCTCCAGCTCATTTAATGAGACATTATATTTGAAGTCTTAAAATTATTGTGTAGAATAATTTTTTTGGAAAACAATAACATATGAAAACATCCAAATGTATTTAGTGTGTGCACCTAGGTATTTAGCTATTTTATAAACAATTCACACACACATTTATTCCCTTTTACAGAAACAACTGTTTCTGAAGCATTATATATATTTGTTTTGGTCTCTCAAATATGTTAGTTTATACTTCCAAAATCAACACCTAAATCTTTAAAACACAACCAATTTAAACTGATGAAACTGGCCAAAGAAATATCTTACAAACTATACCCATAGTCTCTCATTTTTCCTTCAAAGAGTTGTGTGCTCCTTCACTCACTGATCTCACTGACACACATCCATGCATCTCAAAACCTGTCTGTGACACCAGTGAGACAAATGTTTTTACACTCTGCAAGGTAATGATTTCCTGCATGGTTTCAGGTGATTTCTAAAGTAAGAGTGAGTATTTGGAAGCAGAATTTCCTCTGGACTATGAGGAAAACAGAGCCCAGTGTCGCATTGGGAGTTTATACAATGACATCTGAAAGTTTCTCCTTTTCTGAGATAAAAACCATTTCTATCAACCTGAACTCCAGTATAGGTTTCTTTATTTACCACACTTCTCTTTCTTCCTGCCCATGTCACACTGTAATCACTACAACATTTCTACTTACTTATGTTTTCTCATGGTCAGAAATTGTTTCTGTGGTTCCTCAGCCCCATCCTCACTGAGTTCAAAGCCTGCTCTCCCAGCCTTCATGAAAGCTTTGGGAGAAGACATCATTGGCTTATACTTATCACTCAGCAGTAGCTGGGAAATGAGAGGTCCAGTAAGGCTTTGTGTCTGCAGGTCCTGTAATACTTCATTATCCCCTTCTCAGACTTACTGCATTTCTACAACCACTACAGTATTACTAATAGGAGATCCCATGGAGCATGACATTTTGGTGTTGAAAAGGAATAAGCCACTACAACTGTAATATGT